GATTAATGGTGGGAACGAGACACCTTATTCTTCGTTATGTATGGGTTATGCTGTAGTTCCCCCGTGTGTGGCTAAACCAGAAATAATGTCCCTCTCTCAAAAAAATAATAATCATCGTACAGAATTATCACACACACACACACACACACACACACATACAGAGGCATTAAGTTGACCCACAGTTGATTCCTAATGCTATCGCTGGCCCACACATTATACCTCCTGCCTAAATGTAATTTGGTTATGACTCTGTAAACAAAATGATAAAGTGGGATAATGTGCGCGGTAAAGTGGACACTGTGCTGGATGATAATATATTACACACGACACTGTTTGGAGATCACCGCTACTTATCGACGATTATATGCGGATCATTTTTTTTTCATATTTAAATAATACATGTGATGTTACTTAAATATAAAGTTACTTAATCTTAAATATAATGTTACTTAATCCCAAATATAATGTTACTTATTGTGCAGTTAGTATGTATGTATTGTCCCCCTTCCTCCCCTCCTCTCTTCCCTACACCTCCCTCTCTTCCCCCACCTCCCCCTCTCTTCCCCCACCTCCCCCTCTCTTCCCCCACCTCCCCCTCCCCCACACAGAGCACCCATCCCAACAGGTTCATTCAGGCGACGACACAAATCTAGAGAGAGAAATGGCCGCGAAATTTCACTGAGACTTTACCTTAACTGGGTGTCTCGTCCTGGCCAGTGTTATGTGTGTGTGAGGCTTTCTGGGTACACAGACAGACAGACACACAGACACACACACACACAGACACACGTATACAGTCGTCTCCTCAGTACATCATCAACGCACTCCCTGACCATCATACTCACGGACGAGCACACTCCCTAACCAACGCACTCTACCCATCACCAAAGCACTCTACCCATCACCAACGCACTCTACCCATCACCAACGCACTCTACCCATCACCAACACACTCCATCAGCTGTTCCCAGGCAGTAATTACCTCATATCAGCAAAGGAAAGAAAAAATCGTATTATTTTCATTAGTAATCATTTTTTCTCTCCTGATGTTGACAGACATTTTGAAAGATTGCCAGAGTATATTTTTTTTTAAGTCTTGAAAGTGATGTGTAAAGTGAAATGAATGATAGAGAAATAAAAAAAAAGTAGGTTCCGATAGACACATGTTCAAATACACGGAGAAATATATATATATGCATGATTCTACACACACACACACACACACACGAGAGATTTTTTCTGTGTGTGTGTGTTTTCTGTACTAGGCAAGAGTCCCTGAATGTCCAGATATTGAATAATCATTTTACACGGAGAGAGAGAGAGACTCGCCCACAACCAACAAAATTCATAATGAGGCTGAAAATCGAGCTTGTTGGAGGAGTCCGAACATGATCCCTAACTAGCCCTCTGCCATCCATCTAGCCAGTCAGTCATCCATCTAGCCCCGTCATCCATCAAGCCATGTCATCCAACCAGTCAGTCAGAGTGATTATAATGTGACTCATCTTTCATTATATTTATGACTTACTTATCATCATCATCATCATCATCGCCATCGTCAGTATTATTTTTCATTTATCATCATCATCATCATCATCATTGTCATCATCAATATCACCAGCTCAGGTGTGTGTAAACTAATTAGTATAGACAGGTGCAATAAACTCAAGACCACAACAAAACACTAAGACAACAAACACTCACTAAATGTTTACGTAAAAACAAAAAAATAAAAAATATATTTACTCTCAAAATAAATTTATACCCATGAATATATAATAGGATTTATTTTTGTTTTATTATTATTATTATTATTATTATTATTATTATTATTATTATTATTATTTATTATTATTATTGTGTGTGTGTATTATTATTATTGTGTATTATTAATATTATTATTTATTATTTTTTTTTTTTTTTTGCAAACTTCACGTCATAAAACCCTCGACATTTTGTGAACTTTCTTTCATTAAGATATTACTCGATGATAAAATAAAGTTCCCAACATTTTTACTATTTTTTTTTATTTCAGGATGGAGTTATGGAAAAAGAATGTGTGTGGTTATAGGTTAGGTTAGGTTAGGTTAGGTTAGGTTAGGTTAGGTTAGGGGATAGTGGCTGTGTGTGAGAGGGTCGTAGTAGTTAAGTGAGAGAGATAGTGGTAGTATGACTCATAGCATTAAAAGGATGGGTCAGGAGAATCACCTCAGAACAGTTGCTGAGGTAAACGACTCGAGTTTTAAGGAGGCAACCACTTGGAGGAGGAGGAGGAGGAGGAGGAGGAGGAGGAGGAGGAAGAGGAGGAGACATCACAATCAAACAACCTAACCTAACCTAACCTAACCTAACCTAAGACATACTGAGCCACGAATGGTTTGGTTCCATAAAGATTGGAAGTCTTTAGGCAATTCTGGGACACGTAAGAGCTGGTGTTCCTAAGAGAGTTGGGCTCCAGACTCATTGAGGCCTCCGAAGACACTAGTTCACCCAGTAACAAGTTCCGGTGCTTCAATATAGCGATCGAGTGAGTGTGTGTATGTGTGAGTGTGTGTATGTGTGAGTGTGTGTGTGTGTGTGTGTGTGTGTGTGTGTGTAAAAAAAACATCACCCCGGCAGCTGGGTCAACCTTTCCATAATCATGTTTTCTGCTTGCTACCTCCTCTGTTTAGCTCACCCGCTGTCCTTACTCACTTTTTCCCTCAGATTATTATTAATTTTTTTTTCTCACTATATTTGTGTTTATTTGTGTTTATTTGTGTTTATATTTGTTTAGTGGTTACCTTTACTATTTTATCTTCTTAATATATAAAATTAAAAGACTTCATAAAACTATTTGGTGGATAATTTGTCAATCATTCGCTATAAATGAGTTCCTATAACACCTGTTCTCTATAACACCTGTTCTCTATAAGACTCGTATATATAACACAGAACTATTCTCTTCATATTGAAGCTTAAAAACAACTTTACTTCAACACTGGATGGATATAGTGGTGATAGAGAGAATTTATCAGGTGAGGCAGGTGAGACAGGTAACACAGGTGAGAGTTGTAACACAGGTGAGACAGGTAACACAGGTGAGAGTTGTAACACAGGTGAGACAGGTAACACAGGTGAGAGGGTGAAGGAGAGGCTTAAAGAGATCAGTAATGAGACAGTGAAGTGACTCCTTGAAGTATATAACTCAAACTCTCAGCTGTTGAGTGTGTGTGTGTGCTCTCTCTCTCTCTCTCTCTCTCTCTCTCTCTCTCTCTCTCTCTCTCTCTCAGAATCAAATAAACCTTTTTTAAACATTATTATTATTATTATTATTATTATTATTATTATTATTATTATTATTATTATTATTATTATTATTATCACCTGTTCTGTGGTTCCCCAGGTAAACTATTACCTAATTATGGGAAAAGAGGTAATTTTCCCACTACCTGAATGTTTAACCCCTTGAGTACGATGACTTAACCACCTTGAGTACAATGACTTAACCCCTTGAGTACAATGACGTAATTCATGATATTCAAAGTGGAGAGAGAACATTACAGGGGCGTGAGAGCATTATAGATCATTAGAGTAATATAAGAGTATTACAGACGTATAATACAGAGAGATTTGAGACACAATTATACCACGTGAGCATTAATCTTGAGGGCATTATATCTCAGTGTGAGACTATTAGTGTGAGACTATCAGTGTGAGCCTTATACTAGTGTGAGACTATCATAAGAACATAAGAAAGTAAGGAGTCTGCAATAGGCCGGTTGGCAGGGGATATAGATAAAGTTCTTATAATATCCGAGCAGGATAGGACTCGGAGCAACGGATTCAAGTTGGATAAGCTTAGGTTTAGGAGGGAGATAGGAAGGAGCTGGTTCACAAATAGGGTGGTGGACGAGTGGAACAAGCTTAGCAACTTTGTAGTAAGTGCGGGAACTCTGGAAAGTTTCAAAAAGAGGCTAGATAGATTCATGGATGATAGAGAGTGGTAGTAACTCTCGAAAGGAGCTGCCATGCACAGGCCAACCGGCCTATTGCAGACTCCTTATTTTCTTATGTTCTGTCGAGAGTTACTACCACTCTCTATCATCCATGAATCTATCTAGCCTCTTTTTGAAACTTTCCAGAGTTCCCGCACTTACTACAAAGTTGCTAAGCTTGTTCCACTCGTCCACCACCCTATTTGTGAGCCAGTTCCTTCCTATCTCCCTTATACTAGTGTGAGACTATCAGTGTGAGCCTTATACTAGTGTGAGACTATCAGTGAGCCTTATACCTTAAACTAGTATTTTTTTAAACTAGTATTAGACAAAACTTCCTGACGCTACAGAATATTTTAATACCCTCCCGTAGCTGTGTAATATGAGAACTTTTTTATTTATTTATTATTTCCGGTAGTGTCATCCAGCGCCGGGACAAAAACATTTATAAATCAAGTGTTCGGATTTATTCTTTTTTAATGGTTTAATTTTAAATTTACTCTTCAAATAAGAGAGAGAGAGAGAGAGAGAGAGAGAGAGAAGAGAGATAGATGACATGACCAACATATTTTCCATACATGTTACAGATGAAAAGCGAGTACACCCACACACACACACACACACACACACACACACACACGTTCATGTCTCCCTTGTCTTTACGACCTGATGATTGTTATAAGTGTAAACGTTATCATGTTTATCAGCAATCGTTAGTGTGAATTTTATTATCTGGTGTGTCACGTCACGTCACCTCACGTCACGTCACTGTCTGTAAACACACTCGTTGCCGCAGCGAGAAGATGGCGTGTGAGTGTAAATAAGATGCGTGACAGGTTGAGATTACACACACACACACACACACACACACACACACACACACACACACACACACACACACACACACACACACACACACACACACACCCCATCTAACAGCACACAGAACCACCCCTCTGCCATAAGTGCCTCTCAGTGCCACGTCTAACTAACCCCTCCCCCTTTTCATCGTCTCCTACAGGGTGCCAGGGCCTCCGGGTGAAGAAGGTGATAGTGCCACCTCACGAGATCAAGGGTATGGGCGTGGAGTTGGAGTGCCAGTACGAGTTGAGGGGACCAGCTCTACTCCTTGAAGTGGTATAAGGGCATCAAGGAGTTCTTTCGCTATGTACCAGCAGACAACCCGCCCATACAGGTGTTTGATCTACCTGGTGTCCACGTCGATGTGAGTAGCGAAGATATGTGTACTACAACAACAACAGCACATGTAATAACAACAATTATAATAACAATGAAATTTATAATAATAGTAAAAACAACAAAAACACTATAGTAGAAACAAGTGAATAATAACAACAGTAACAACAACAACAAATACAACTAGTAATACAATAAAATAACTAATTATTATCATTTTATCATCATCATCATCATCACATATTGTATATTATTACTTACAAGAACATCAATCATTTATTTAAGTAACAAATACATATAAGTAAGAAAAACAAATAAAGATGGTCAAAAGGTTAAGCAATAAGGCAGAACACACCAGGTAGTCCATCAACACACCAATAAGTTGTTTTTCTCGTACCTGCGGGAGGCAAACAGGAAGAGGTGGATCAGATACCTTCCCTCAAGGTTAATGAGTGGTTGGAACACCTGCACACACACACACACACACACACACACACACACACACACACACACACACACACACACACACACACACACACACACACACACACACCTCGGAAGGGGTAAATTGATAAATATTCATTGTATCGTAGAGAGGGACACACACACACACACACACACACACACACACACACACACACACACACACACACACACACACACACACACACACACACACACACACACACACACACACACACACACACACACACACACACACACACACACACACACACACACACACACACACCATTGACAAAAATACAGAACATACTAGAAATACAAAATATACACAGAAACACAACCAATTACACTGAACCGGAAAATACACAGAAAATCTAAATAAACTTACGTTGATAATTATTCCTGTTAAACTTGATACATAGAGCAGGACAGACATACAGACTTACAGGTTATATTTGCAGGTATTAATTAATGTAGAAGGACCGGTGTACAGGTAGGTCGGTGTACAGGTGGGTCTACAGGTAGGTCGGACACTCCTGCTGATTGAATATAGACATCATGTTGTGTTCAGTAAAAAGTGAAGGTTATATATTGGTAGTGAAGTTGGAGCACTAGAAACTGATGTGTGTGTGTGTGTGTGTGTGTGTCTTTCTCTCTCTCTCTCTCTCTCTCTCTCTGGATGATGCAGGCAAAGGGAGAATGTTAAATATTTGTACTAGAGATTATCTTAAACCCCACAATGGAATTACCCAAAGCAATATTCTCTTTATATACAGCTGGTTCATCTCTCTCTCTCTCTCTCTCTCTCTCTCTCTCTCTCTCTCTCTCTCTCTCTCTCTCTCTCTCTCACCAATTTTCACCAGCTCGTAAAATTACACCAGGGGCAAAGTTCTATTTCTGACTAAACCAACACTGAAAATCCAAACAATTAAAACAAACTAGATTTCTAAAACATAATAAAACACTGGAATATAATTTATGTGTTTGGTTTAAACTTCATACATACATACATACATACATACATACATACATACATACATACATACATACATACACATACATACATACATACCATATAAAGCTCTCAGTGTAAGATATAAAGTACATAAAAACTATATCAATAAAAATAACTAAATATTTAACGATTTAAAAAAACTAATCCAACCACAACAAAATTTAATCTCAAATGTTTGGGATTCAATTGACCTGACCTGACCTAACCTAACCTAACCTCACCTAACAAGACACCCCCAACGAAGGCGGCCTGGGATCGATACCTCACTTGGATCAACCTACACAGCCACGAGTTAATATTATGTAGTGCGCGCGTGTGTGTGTGTGTGTTGGGAGAGGTACACCAGTGTTTACCAAGGATACTACCACAGCCGGGAGGAACACTGCCTTCCCATGATATACACTAGTGACTGAGCTGGCCCTGAGTGCGACTGACACTCTCTCGTGGTGTGATGATGAATGGTTGGGTAGATGGTATAGTGGTATGGGAGTGAGTATGGTGGTGGGTATGATGATGTAGTGGTTGGAGGTTGTGGTAGTGTGGTGGTGTGGTGTTGGTGTGGTGGTGTAGTGGTGTGGTGGTGGAGGAACTTACTGTGTGTGTGTGTTGGACCAAGGCTGACTCCTCCAGAAGAAGAACCGGGTAACATCTACGAGAAGAGTTTTAGAGGAGGAGGAGGAGGAAGAGTAAGAGAAGGAGGAGGAAGAGTAAGAAAAAGGAAGAGGAAGAACAAGAAGAACACAAAGAACAAGAACAAGAAAGGTCCTCCGTCAGAAGAACAAGACCCCATCAGCAATAGCCAACGCCGTGTTTCTTTGCGACTCAACCAGACCTAACACAAGGTTTCCCCCCCCCCTCTAAGTGGCAGTATCCACTCATATGCGCAGGGCGTTCACTGATTGGTCCTTTATGTATCGTGTATATTATGACGCAACTTTAGGTAAACATAAGATATCTTATACTGAACTTTAAGCTAAACTAAGATAACTTGTACTGAACTTTAAGGGTAAACTTAAGATAACTTGTACTGAAGTTAAGGGTAAACTAAGCACTAAGTATCCTGATTGTTGGGCCTTAGGTGGTGAAGAGATATGTCTGTCGTCTGTCTGTCTGTCTGTCTGTCTGTCTGTCTGTCTGTCTGGTCTTTCCTTATAGTGTTCTCAGATCAGTCATTACGTCACGACTGCTTATATCACCACGATTAATTTAGTTCACTTTAAAATTAATACTTTTCGGCATATTTCTAAAAATCTGTTAAGTACAAAATAGCTCAGCCTGGGATTATTAATTAGACTCCATTATAATCCTCATTAATTCTAAACTACGACACTGAATACATAATGTTAAAGACGCTATAATTATACAAATAACCTGGTAATTAACGAAATGATTTTAAGCTCCTACCTGCCTTGGGGGGGTGGGGAAAAAGGGGGTCATTACATAGTTAATTACACTAAATTAAGTACTGCGAATGACGATAAAAAATTGGTATCATTGAAATTTGATCTTGTTGAAATGTTTTTAATCTCTCGTATTAATAGATAGACTTTAATGAACCCCGGAAGTATGATTATTAATTCTCTCGGGTTAAAGGATTCTCACAGGAAGTAAATTTGTATGACTCTTGTATGATAACTGACTTGAATTGGTGAGTTATGTTATGTTATTGTTGAGGGTTAGCTATTGGTATATACGGAAGATGATGCTGACTTTATCTGTCGTGCTAAGAATTGATTATTATTATTATTACTTACACAGCACACACACACACACGCGCACACACACACGCGCACAAACACTACCTCACACACACACACACACACACACACACACACACACACACACAACAACACACACACAATATTCCTTTTCCCCAACCTAACCTAACATAAACAACTAATTTCATACAAATACACCAACCCGTTGTCGAGTTATTTTTAGGGAGACAGACAGACAGACAGACAGACAGACAGACAGACAGAAAACAACACCCTATCAAACAATAACAACAACAACAGAGTGGTTGCTTGACGGAATAAAAAAAATGATACAATTTTTTTCTTCTCTAAACAAGTTATCGGTTCAATTAATTCAAGATTCCTATCAAGGTAAAATAATTATGGATTTTTTTTTCTTTTTCCCCACGACGTTGATAGCGATCGTCTGTGAATTGAAACGACAGCTGAGAGTAATGTATCCTTTTTATTTATTTATTTTGTTTTTTCTTCCTTCCTGACGGCGGTGGTGGTGGTGGTGGTGGTGATAAGGTATACCAGCAGAAGGCGCAGCATTAGCAGTAGGAGAGTGTTATTTAAATTAGATTTGGATTCACTCATTCGTCTCTTTGTCTTGTATTCTGGTCATTTTTTTTAGGGACTAGGTTGAGTCCAATTTGAGTATATGATACTTTAGAGACCAAGAGTACCGATTGAGTCCAAAAGTTCAAATGAGTACCTGGGTTTAAAAAAAATAGATAATTGAACTTTTATACTATTAAATCTGAATGTTCAATATATACCCAACGTTCACACACACACACACACACACAAGAGCTTCCAAGACGTTCAGAAAGTCCACCATAACGTTCACACTGGAGGCTAGGCGTTCACAGGACCTTCTAAACGTTCACAATAGTATCTCAACAACGCCGCGCGTGACCCAGCGTTCAATGGCAATTAGTGAACGCTAGTTTAAGTGAACTCTGGGTGTTTACTGTGTTTACGAAGGAGGGAGGCATTGGCTAAGGGGGAGTAAGTAAGGTCAGGGAGGGTATAAACAAGGTCAGGGAGGATGTAAACAAGGTCAGGGAGGATATTAACATGGTCAGGGAGGATATAAACAAGGTCAGGGGGAAAATAAACATCAGGGATAAAAATTAAATAAGGGAGAATATAACAAAACAGGGAGAAAGTAAACCAAATCAGGGAGAAATAAACACCAGGGAAAAAAATAAACAACACCAGGGAAAAAATAAACAACACCAGGGAGAAAAATAAACAACACCAGGGAGAAAATAAACAAGGTAAGTGAGGAGTTAATTTCCCGATAATGGAAACTTGATCAAATTTCCCCCATAATCTCCCTGAGCCTCATGATGCACAGGTGTTGTTGAGATGGACAAGTGATAAACCATGACCAAATTACATGACACATATGACACACCTGTACCTGACACACACACACACACACACACACACACACACACACACACACACACACACACACACACACACACACACACACTCTCCCCAACTGTTATCTATTGCCTGACATTAATTTAGTATAAAACACCTAATTAGAGTAACTACCGTAATTATATTCACCACACACACACAGCTGCATAATTTACTACAGGTTTCATTCACGGCCGCATTAGGTTATTATTATACCCAGCAAGTTTGTCGTGTGTGTGTGTGTGTGTGTGTGTGTGTGTGTGTGTGTGTGTGTTTAATATTGAGTTTGGCCATTTGTTGGTTTGTTTAGCTGAGGCAGTAAATGTCATCCCTCCTTCCTATTCTCCTCTCCCTCCCTTCCTACCCCCTCCCTCC